GAAGTACACTGCTGAGGGGAGCAGCGGGCGGGTCAGGAGAGGTCTGCCGCGCCATGTGGTCACCTCCAGGGCAGGCGGGAATCGAACTCATGCGGAGGTGGCTTTAGATTCTCGATGCTGTGCTTTAGCCTGCTGCGCCACCAGGGAGGGCCCCACACATGCAACTTTTTAATTTCAAATTCTATGCTTTTTAAAAAAAAAATTATTGCAGACTTCATGTTCATCATTTAAAATGTAAGCAATACAGAGCAAAAGTTGCCTGTAATGATAGAATCTAGGAAAAACCCACTTTTCAGCTGTTGCTCTCCATAAACCCTTTTTTTTTTTTTTGCATGTATTGTATCCGCTCACACTGAGGAAAAGAAGGTCTGAAAGTTCTTATTACTTAATAACCTTATTGAAGAGTGATCTTTATTGGAACCCCCCCTTTTAAGATCATCACAAGAGGCGTCATTATATTTTTTTTGTGAAGGATGTTAGTATAAATCCTTTTTGAACTTAGATCATTTTGTGATGGAATTAAATAATCCAATTTTGGTGAAATCATGATATGGTCTTTCTTCCTTTCATTTTGATTGAGGAGGCTTGTGCTTTCTGTGAAGGTTGAAAGCCTTTTGAAGGGGGGAGTTGTTAGTGGAAAATAGATTTTTAAGGAATTAACAATCATTTAAATAGCTGTTGCTAGGATATAGCAAAGGTAGTCATAAAATCTTGGCATTTGCACAGAATGCATTGTAAGGTTCTAAAGTGTGTTTGTGTCAACAGAGCAACTCGGATTTTCTTTGAGCTGTCTTGGTTCATGTTGCTCAGATCATAGGGAAGAACCCTGTCTTTTTTATTAAATGATTTTGAATTGATAAATGAACAATACAAACATAGAATGAAGCAGAAATTTTGGATTTCAAATTTTCCAAAAAGAAAATTCTCAAGTTGCAAAAGTCTCATCTCTGTTAAAACACACACACACACACACACACACACACACACACACACACACACACACACACACACAGAGCTGGAGACGCTGGAGAGAAAGAGCTGTGGAGACAGAGAGAACTGAAGAGAGAAAGAGACGCACACACACAGAGACAGACAGAGATAGCTGGAGAGAGCGAATCCCAGCAACTTAAACCGTCAGTCTGATGATGGCCTAGTGAGAAAAGCTAGCTGGGAAGATCTGAAGCAGGTTGAAGCTAGTCCTGCCTCTGGCTCCTGACACCCTCAGAGCCGTTTCCCTGCGTCAAACAGAGAAAATAAGATGCATGTTGCAGGCGTGTAGTGAGGACTAGAGGTAACAATTATCTTGCACATATCGGGGGCACTTAACAGGTGCTTGTTAGTTAACAGATCTCCTGATTACATTATGTCATTAAAGAACTTAACAAACATTGCATTGCTTCCTACATTTTCCTGCTTTGAAGTTTCTATGATGATGACGAGGTGGGCGAGTCTTTGACTCAATTGTTCTTTATTTTCCTAAATTTAAATGAGGGACTGGGAAGAGATGATTTTAAAACCTCTCTGAGCGCTAGTACCTTTGGTCGACGCGGGAGTTCCCCCTTTGCTTTCTTGGTGCCACAGCACCATCTAGTGGCCAGACGGTGAATGCTGTCAGCTCAATGGGCGCGAGGGACATTCGGAATGTGCAGATAATGCCCTCTCCTTTGGAGGCTGTAGGAGATTGTCACGTCATGTGGTTATAATGCACTTGAAATATTTTGAGAATTTTGGAGAAACCTATTGACCAACTCCAGGAGATGCATCCCCAATACTCATGAAGTTTTCTCTTACTAGGGCCCTTAACTAATAGAATTAAAGTGAATCTTGCTTGAAATCAGCCCCAGCACAGGTTCTGCAGTCTGACTGCCTTAAATGCTGGCTCCATCTCTCCCCAGCTGTTAGTGTCTGGGCCAGTTCACTTTTCCATGGACCAGTAGATAATCCCCATAGAAGCACTTAGATTAGTGTTGGCAGATAGTAAATGCTCAGTAAGTATTGGGTTGATTATTATTACTTCTCTGTCCTATTGTCACACTTGGCTCATTCTGTCTCGTATTCTTTAAAAGGCCTGGTGGTGCAACAGGTTAAAGCACAGCATTATGAAGCTCTCAGAAGCCACAGTGGCATGAGTTCGATCCCCAGCCAGGGAGCTGACCCACATGGCACAGCGGACCTCTCCTGACCTGTTCACTGCTCCCCTCATCAGTGTATTTCAGTAGCTCCACCTGTTCTGCTCCCCACTCTATTTCTGGTGAATCCTGTCATTGCCCCTGTACTTTTGGCCTGTACCCCAGTTCTGTAAGCATAAACAAATCTGTAGAAAAAAAGATACATATAGTTTGGCTTAGGTATACTAGCTAGAGTGCCATTTATTCCTGATGGAAATTCATCTATGAAAAGAGAGGTTCTTGTAACCTGGGGTTTGGGGGTGGCCATCATCACATGTTGCATCGTGCAACACCACAGGAGTCGCAGAGTAGCTAATAGTGCAGGGGCTGCTCAAGGGCAAGATCCTGGCCTTTTTATTGATAGAATCATCATACATCATTAGCTCTAAGTGAAGGCAGAAAGGAGAAGGAGAGAGGTGGAAATGTCCATTAGGATGACGGGTCTGCTATTGAGGTGCTTCTCACCTGCTGATGGCGCAGGGATTGTAATTGAGACCCAGCCCCCATTCTCCAGTCAGGGTTTCAATCTTACCAACAAGGTGTTTCTCTGATCAGCTTCTTGTCATATAATGTCACATGCCAGAAGAGCCCTTGTCTCATCCCCACCACCGTCCTCTAGGTTGTAAAGATGTTGCTTGGTAATAATTTGAGCAAATAAACCAATTAGGAACACATTTAATTTTTACAAGTTGGAAAGCATCCACTTTCTTCTTTTTTAACAAAGATTTATTGATTTGTGCACACAAGAACTGGGGTACAGGCCAGAAGTGTGGGGATGAGAAGATTCACCAGAGACAGAGAGAGGAGTAGAATAGGCAGATCGACTGGAAATACACTGCTGAAGGGAGCAGTGGGCAGGTCAGGAGAGGTCTGCTGTGCCATGTGGGTCAGCTCCCTGCCTGGGGTCAAACTCAGGCCACAGTGAGTGGGGATAGCTTAATGGTGCTGAGGCTTAATCTCTGCACTGCCAGGGAGGCCCAGCATCTCTTTTCTTTAAACGTGTCTAAGATACTTTTCTGCATAGGAGATAGTCAATAAGCTCTGTGGCACCTGTTTGACTGAAGGCTTCAGCCCCTGGAGACTGAGCCTCCAAGCTGTAGCTCCGTCAGGCCAGCCTTCCAGTTCTGTGTCACCCTGAGGTGACCTTGGCTAAATGTGCTACTTGGGACTTGGGGTGGCTGGTAGCAGAACCAACACTAACAAATCAAAACAAAAAAGCATTTATGGGAATTATTTACTGGGCGGCTCCTGTGTTCCAGGAAAGGCTGCAGAACAGGGCTTAGAAAAGAAACAGGATCCAAGGAAGATAATATATCAGTAGGGACTGGGCAGGGAATTGAAAAACCACATTATTTCAAACAGGGTGATACAAGCTATTTGTTTAAGAAGGCTAAAATGTAAAAGGGCAATACAGAAGGAGCCAGAATATAATGGAGGAAATGGTACTGCCTGTAAGGTCTCAAAACCATAGGGAAAATGAGTTGCCAGAGGCTGGAGCTCTGAGGCAAGAAGCCACCAGCTGGCGTTTACGTTGGGGAGGAGTGGAGATGAGGAATGGAGCCGTGAGGTGCCCAGGGCAGCTTTGTGCTGGGGGTGTCAAAGTAGGCAGGGGCCCTTGGCTGCTCCTGTCTCCCACTGCTGGGCCATGCTGGCCCCTGGATTGGGAAGAAATGTCGGGGTGAGACAGGAGGCACAGGGGTGAAAGAATTCTCCTGCGTGGAGAAAAGGCAATCTGGACTTACTGGAATACACTGTTGAATCAGCGGGCGAGCTGGCAGAAGGCAGAGCCACAGGGGCATTTAGGGCTCACGTTCATGCAGTGTTTGGTGGGCTTTCTAACTTGGGGTGCCAGTTTGCACCAGGAATTTGCTGGTATGTCTGGTCCTCAGGTGCTGGCTGTGGACACAGACATAAGTCCTGCTGCTGCTTTCTGCACTCCTGGTTGTTAAAACTTTGTCCCAAGGCAACACTCTCCATTTCCTAACCTCTTCAAGCCCCTCAAAGGCAAGGAGTGGTGCTTAGTTT